CACACCCCCGCGGGACCGGAGCCCGTGTCACGGGTGGAAGGGAGCCCCATCGGCCTGGTGTCAGCAGCCGCAGGACCCATAGCTCATGTTGATGCTGTGCGTGAAGACTCTCTGAGGGCAGGGCACGGTGACAGGGGCCTCAGGTCAGTGACTGAGCAGGGTTGAACTGGGGGACCGGGGTGGGGGGATGTCACATGGAAGCGGGTCCGAGATCCAGGGGGTCATATGCGGGAGACAGCGTGAATCCCGGCAATTAGGGTGGTCACATGCAGGGGGCGGGGCGGCGGGAATCCCTGTATTCAGGAGAAATCACATGGTGGGGATCCCTGGATCCTGGGACTCAGGGGAGGGTTACATGAGGGGGAGCAGTAGGCCCGGAGCCCAGGGGGATCACATGGGGGAGAGTGGGGATCCTGGGAGGGGGTTGGTGGTCACATGGGTGGGAGTGGGGACCCCGGGTGTCCACCCCCATCCCTGCTGCTGAATGTGACTCATCCACAGCAGATGTCCTGTACTCTGGAGCTTCATGCGGTGCTGGCCACCTGAGACTGAGCACAGGGTCCTTTTCATCCATTTTAGCCCGTGTATATGTAGGGGGGATGATACAGCCTGTATTATAACACTCATCTCCTTTCCACAGATGGGAAACTGAGGCAGGAAGGTGCCGAACATGTGAGAACGACCTCACCCAGACCCAGCACTGCCGGCCCAACCACGGGACACTCTTGTGTCTACTCCTACTCATATCCACAGCTAGGGCACTGTAAACCACCAGCAGCACCCTGGGGGTGTGTCGGCAGAGGGATGGGGGCTGTGTCGGCAGAGGGATGGGCCTGAGGGGGGCAGGGCACACCACGAGGAGCCTCCGGGAGAAAAAACGGAATTCCTGGCTCTCTGATGCCCAGGGCAAGGGGAAACTGAGGCAGCAGGACCAGGGCTCCTTTGTAAGGGGTGAGGTGCCCAGGCACACAGACAACCCAGTGAGGGCAAGGGAACAGTGTGCACCACAGGATTGCTTTTGGTGTGTGGTAGGAACATACATTGGAAAACTGAAAGTTTGACTTCTGAAATTTATGAATTTTGCATTCTACTTTCAGGTTTTTCTTACACATGTTATACAGAGTTTAGAAACTGGTAGAAAGAGATGATGGGGATCATCCTCCAGCAATATGTGATCAGAATGCTTTTCACTTTCTGCTACCACCAGCTACAATGGCCATGATTCAGGAAAGTTGAGTTCCAGGGAACAAAAGGAATTTCTGATCTGCAGAAGTTTCTCAGGTGTGCAAAGTGTTGGATGGTTGGATAGGGCAGATTCCACATGTTGGATCATGATACATGTGGCAGGAAGCAGATGTTAAGTTATTCTTCTATGTTGCTTTGCTTGTGGGCATCAATTGGGGCTGGGTTTGCCTCAAACCGAAAAGGGACATAGAGAGATTTCCCCTAGTTGTAGAGAGAGCTCTATAGAATGGGGCGTCTCTGTTTGGAAGGAATATCAATAACTAGAGGGTCAGAAGCAGAACAGTTTAAGGGTCCTTTTGAGTTAATTTTGTGGGAGTTGTGAAGTCTGTTTATTTAATTTCTAAACACATAGAATCATAGGTAGCTGGGTAATATTGGTCAAGATCACAGTTTACCTGGCTGAGTTTCCTTTGGTGAAAAGTTGATTATATTTTCCTGCTTTTGTTCTTGGCTTTTTCTCTCCATCCTTTTATTCTTTCCCAAATATTGTACACCCATTGTTGTAGATTAGTTGTAAGTATAGAAGTCACATTATTTCAATGTGTATATTATTTTTTTTGTAATCCTCTTGAGAATTCTATCCTTTTCCACTTTGCATATAGCTTTAGAATCAGTGACACTGTTACAAGGTGTCATGAATTTTCTTGGGATTGTATTCAGTTCATGTTGCAAATTTATGTTACAAAGTATTTTAATATTGATGCATCAAGTTCCCAATGCATATTTATTTACTTCTTTATTTATGTAGACTCCTTTATTATTGTTGTTTTTAATCTGTGAAAGACATTGAATGTTTTGCCAAAAAAGTATTATGGGGCTTGGCAGGTGGCTCAGCACATATTCTTGGGGATAACCTGAGTTCAGATCCCAACACCCAAATTTGGAGGCTCATAACTACCTGCTACTCCAGATCCAGGGTATCTGACACCCTCTTCTCTGGTATGTCACATGTACCCATATGGAAAACTCTCACACACAAACTGTATATACAAAAAATTGGGATAAACTTGTCTTCAAAATTCTTGTTACTTACAGAGCAATGAGAGCAAAACAAGTCACGTTGGGTGCATAAAACAAATCATACACTGTTTTTTAAATTTATTTTAAAAATTTAGTTTTCATTTTACCTACCAACCCCAGATGCCCTCTCTTTCCATCTCCTGCCTCCTACATCTCCTCCTTCCCATCCCCCATTCACTCCTCAGAGGGGGGTAAGGTCTTCTTTTAGGAGTCAACAAAGTCTGGCATACCAAGTTGAGAAGGACCAAGCTATTCCATCCTGTATCAAGACTGAGCAAGGTATCCTGCCATAGTGAGTGGGCTCCAAAAAGCCAGTTCATGCATCTGGGATGGATCCTGGTTTCACTGCCAGGACCCCCCCCCCCAACAGATCAAGTCACCCGTATTCAGAGGGTCTAGTTTGGTGCTATGAAGGTTCCCCAGCTGTCAGTCCATAGTCTGTGAGCTCCCACTAGTGACACTAGTAGGAGGTGTGGCTTTGTTGGAGTGGGCTTTTCCTTGTTAGAGGAAGTATGTCACTGTGGGGTCAGGCATTGAGGTTTCTTATACTCAGGATGCTGCCCAATGTGTCAATCAATTCCTTTTGCCTGAGTCAAGATGTAAGGACTCTAACCTTCAGCACCACATCTGCCTGCAGGCTGCCATGCCCCCTGCCATGATGATAATTAACTGAACCTCTGAAATTTTAAGTGAGACACCTCAATTAAATGTTTTCTTTGTAAGAGTAGCCATGGTTCATGGTGTCTCTTCACAGTAATAAAAACCTAACAGAGACAGAAGCTGGTACCAGGGACTGGGGTATTTCTGTGATAGGCTGCCTTATCATACAATTTCTCTGATGTGTTCTCAGCAGTGTTGATCTGCTTGCTTGTCACTCCCTTTATGTCTGTTCATTGGGATTTCTTTCTCAAGGCTATATGCTATCTAAAGGGCCAAGAAATGGTGCACGTGAACCTCCTATTCAGTTTTCTTCTAAAGTGACTTGGTGAATACATTATAATGTCCATGTCATGAAATAAGTGTGGGAAGCACCAGAATTATATGACTATATTGTCAAAGAAGTAAACATTTACAATGAATATCACTGTTTTACACATGTGTGGGTTATTTTAGAACGCAGTGATCTATGATGATGTGCACATCAACTTCACTCAGGAAGAGTGGGCTTTGTTGAATTCTTCCCAGAAGAGTCTCTACAAAGATGTGATGCTGGACACCTACAGGAACCTCACTGCTATAGGTAAGACTAAATTTTCCTTCATGTTTTGAAATAAGGGGACAACTATTTCTTGGTTATTGATACTCTTCTGTGATTTTGATTGAGAAAAGGGAAAATTAGGTGAATAAGGCATAGTTCTAAGGTTCATTGAAGATATTAACTTAAATTTTATATAATTGCCAATAATATATCATATATTTTCTGATATTATATTTTAGGCTACAGTTGTGAAGACCATAATATTGAAGAACATTGTCAAAGTTCTAGAAGACATAGAAGGTAATTTCCATGTACATGTTTATACAAATTTGCCTCTGAAGAAATTTTAATGCGTCCTAGAAGTTTTAGAGAAAAGCAATAGTGTAAATAAGCACAGCTTAAAGTATATTGATGATTCTTAATTTCTCACAAAACCATGTACCTCAATGTTAGGTAGCTATTCTGTGTTTGCAAGGCATTCCTGTGAAAAAGAAGACAAGGAAACAATTCTTTAACAGATAGCACCATTTGAATGATAGCTCCAATGAGAGCTATGCTGTAGAAATGCCAATCCATTTAGTTTCATGTCACTCAGATATTTTAAACAGTATTCATGTGGAATATGTGATAAGTATATTATGTCTCAGACCTAAGAAAAAAGTGTCTGTAGTAAAGCTGGCATTACTTATATACTTGTGACTTTGCTAAGTATATTGAAAGGGTCAGTTTATGAGAGTCAAGAAGGTTGTGGAGAAACCTTAATCCCTGTACCACATGTCTGTAAGGAAAAGAAAGTCAAACTGTGTGAAAGCAATGTGGAAACCTTTTATTTATTATTCTTTCTTTAATAAGAATATCATGTCCAGCTGGACAGTGGTGGTACATGCTTTTAATCCCAGCACTCGGGAGGCAGAGGTAGGCAGATCTCTGTGAGTTCAAGGCCAGCCTGGTCTACAGAGTGAGTTCCAGGACAGCCTCCAAAACAATACAGAGAAACCCTGTCTCGAAAGACAAACAAACAAACAAACAAAAACAACACAAAAAAAGATGCCATAAATGTGGGCCTTGAAATAAAGGCTCTTATTATCACTGGTATCTTCAAAGACACAAAACAACCTCTAATGAAGGGAAGCATCATGAATGTAAAACTTAATATCTGATTCCTCTTTACAATTAGGCTAAATTATAAAATTAATATATACAGATACTAAGTTTCATCAGTGAAATGCATGTGGTAAAGCTTTTACATGTGCCAGTTATCTTTGCAGGAATGAAATAAAGCAAACAGGAGAGAAACCCTGTGAATATACTCAATGTGTTAAAGCCTTTGTGTGTTACAAGCATCTTCAAAGGCATGAAAAAGTTCATACTAGAGATAAACCGTATGAAAGTATTCAATATGGTGAAGTCTTTGCATGTCACACTTGTCTCTGACTCTGTAAAAGAACACATACCGGAGAGAAAACCTATGAATGTAATCAGTGTGGTAAAGCTTTTGCAAGTCATGGTGTGCTTAGAAGACATAAGAATGCATCCTGGAGAGAAACCCTATGAATGTAATCAATGTGGTAAAGCCTTTTCACATGTCAGTAGTCTCCAAACACACAAAGTAACACATACTGGAGAGAGACCATGTGAATGTAATCAATGTGCTAAAGTATTTTCACAACACGTTAAACTCCAAATACATAAAAGAACACATACTTGAGAGAAACCCCATGTATTTAATCAATGTGGTAAGGCTTTTTCACATGTCAGTAGTCTCTAAACACATAAAAGAACACATACTTGAGAGAAACCCTGTGAAAGTAATTAATGTGGTGAAGCCTTTGTATGTATCATTAGTCTTTAAAAATCATGAAAAAAATCATACTACAGAGAGACCCTATAAATGTAAGCAATGTGGTAAAGTTGTGCACTTTGCATATCACAATAATCTTTGAGGACCTGAGAAAATTCACACTGAAGGGACTCTTACTATACAGGATTTGATAAGATTTTCAGCCAACACACATTTAGTCACACAAGATTCTGGAGAGAAAAAAAATCGGACAAGTGTCAACAATCTGTTCAAGCATTATGATGTCTCTATTTTGTTGGCACCTGCAAACTCATGGACAAAAGTCCTATTAATTCATTGATAAGGTAACCCTTTTTGGTTTCACACTTTTCTTTATTTACATAAAAACCTCATGCAGATTGATTGATTTCTCTAAATTCAAACTACATGCTTACTTTCTGTTACATGAACCAATTCATGATGAAGAAAAACTGTTAAGACTTTAAATGCTTCAACATCTGGGTTACAGGGCAGGCTGCAGCGGCATGTTTCCCTCTTCCTCTGGGAAGCTTGGGACATGGGGTCATCTCTCTCACTGGCACCATTCTGTTATGATAAATCTTTCTGCCACCTGCTTGAGTTCTGCTGCCACGTGGGTGGCCAAAATAATATACAGAGACTTATATTAGGTACAAATGCTGCTTGGCCAATGACTAGGATGTCTCATCTGCTAGCTCAGTCTTAATTATCATAAATCTATATATTTTATAAAACTTATTTTATCGAACACCTTCCGCTATCGTCCTCATCCCTGGGATCACATGGTGGCTCCAAGCAGAGAGCAGGAGGAAGAGTGAAGGGGAAAGGAGCCAATTCCTGCTTGTCCTTGCTTAAATATGCGTCTTCCTGCTATGTCACTTCCTGCCTGGATCACCACTTCTTTACTACTTTTCCCAGAATCCTCCTTGACCTAGTCCCGTCTAACTTGCTGTCTCATTGGCCAAACAGTACTTTATTCAACAATCAATAAGATGAACATACACAGAAGTACATTCCCCATCAATCCAGTAGCTGATGGAAGAAGCAGAGATCTATAACTAAGCACGAGCAGAACTCCTGGATTCCAGCTGTAGAGCGGGAGAAGTAATGAGTAAAGGGGTCAAGACCATGCTGGGGAAACCCACAGAAACAGCTGACCTGAGCAAGTAGAAGTTCACAGACCCCAGTCTGACAGTTAGAGAACCAGCATTGGACCAACCCAGGCCTCCTAAACGTAGGTATCAGGTAGGAGGCCTGGGAAGTCTGTGGGGCCTCTGGTAATGGATCTGTAGTTATCCCTAGTGCATAAATGGGCTTTGGGAGCCCATTCCCCCATGGAGGGATACTCTCTTAGCTTAGACACACAGTGGTGGGGGGAGGGCCTAGGACCTGCCCCAAATGATGTGACAGACTTTGATGATCCCTATTGAAGGACACACTCTCCCTGGGGAGTGGAGGAGGATGGGATGGGATGGTCTGTAGGGGGCATGGGAGGATGGGTAGGAGAGAGAACTGGGATTGATATGTAAAATAAGAAATTTTTTCTAATTTAAATAAAAATTTACTTAAAAAAGAAAGAGAGCAGGCCCTTCTTCTGAAGGGACAAGAAAGCTACATGAAGAAGTTGCCCATACCCCTATGGTTTCTACTCCTGTTACAATGCCTTCTGCTGCCAAGCATACACCTAGAGCCTCATATGATTGGCTGGCTGAGGAAGAGCAGATTAGGGCCAGGTTTACTTATGGTTCTGAACATCATGCAGGCTCCACCCAGAAGTGGACAGCTGCAGCATTTCAACCCCATTGTGGACAAGCCTGAAAAATACTTGTGTGTATGATATTTTGTTTGTGTCCTGACAAATAAAGCTTGCCTGCAGAGCAGAGGGTAGAGCTAGTGTAGGGAGACACCCTAGCCCCGCCCAATAGTCCTGGGACTGGTACCAGGTGGACCCGGGACTCGCCCATAAGGGCGTGGTGAAGGAAAGCCGGGGTGACGTAAGGGAGCTTCTTAAGGGGCCAGGGTCCCCACGGCTTTCCTTCGAGCTAGCCACTAGTTAACCAAAGAGGCCAGGCAGTGGCGGCACACACCTTTAATCCCAGCACTTTGGTGGAGGAAGCAGGAAGATCAGAAGTTCAAGACCACCATTTGGCTATAAGAGATTGCATCATTCTAAAAGAGAAACAAAGTCAGACAGTGGTGGCTCAAAACTTTAATCCCAGCACTAGAGAGGTGAAAAAAGGAATATAATAAGGCACCTATTCAATCTGAGATTTTGTAGGGGTAAGAAGTCTATGGTGGCTGGCTGCTCTGCTTCTCTGATCTTTTAGCTTTCATTCTAAATATCTGACTCTGGGTTTTTATTGATTAAGATTAATTAGGATCAAGATTCATACTGTTGAAGGAAAATCATCACAGTGGACAGAAGTTCAGGCAGTAAACATGGCCATACAGTTTATTTGGAAGGAGAAATGACCAAATGTGCAGCTACTCACTGATTGATCAGCTATAGCCAAAGGATTGACTGGATGGTCAGGGACTTGGAAATAACATGATTGGAAAATTGGTTCAAAAGAGGTATGTAGGTAGGTCTCTCCAAATGGGCAAAGGGTGTGAAGATACTTGTGTCCCACGTAAATGTTCATCAAAAGGTGACTTCAGCTGAGGAGGAGTTCAATAATCAAATAGATAGGCTGCCTCTTTCTATAGACAGTCAGCCTCTTTCCCAGCTTTCATGACATTGCCCAATGGGCCCATGAACAAAGTGGCCATGGTAGCAGAGATGGGGTCTATGCATGGGCTCAACAACATGGTCTTCCACTCACCACGCTTGACCCGGCTACTGCTGCTGCTGAGTTCCAGATCAGCCAACAACAGAGACCAACACTGAGCCCCAGATGTGGCCCCATTGCCTGGGGTAACTAGCCAGCAACCCAGTAGCAGGTTGACTACATTGGACCACTTCCTCCATGGAAAGGACAACTCTTGCCTACATGTAGTGCTACTGCCAAAACTACCATCAATGCCGGGTGATGGTGGCACATGCCTTTAATCCCAGCACTTGGGAGGCAGAGGCAGGTGGATCTCTGTGAGTTTGAGCCCAGCCTGTCTACAGAGCTAGTTCCAGGACAGGCTGCAAAGCTACACAGAAAAACCCTGTCTCTAAAAACAAAACAAAACAAAAACAAAACATTAAAAAGCTAAATAAAAAAAAAAAAACTACCATCAGTGGATTTACAGAATGTCTTCTCCACCAGCATGGTATTCCACACAGTATTGCTTCTGACCAGGAAACTCACTTCACAGGAATCAAGGTCCAGGAACCAAGTGGTGGAAATGGGGATAGGTCCACTCACTATAATCCCTAGTTGCCAACTAGGAAAGTTTTCCTTCCTGTTTCTGCAACTCTAAGTTCTTCCGATCTAGAAGTTTTGGTTACAGAGGGGGGAGTGCTCCCACAAGGAGCCACAGCAAATATTCCCATTGAACTGGAAACTCAGACTTCCACCTGAGCTTCAAATGCCCTCAAATCAACAGACTAAGAAAGGAGTAACACCATTAGGAGGGTGATATATTCAGATTACCATGGGGAAATTGTATTGCCTCTCCAAAATAAAGGTAAGAAGAATGATGTCTGGAATCCAGGAGATCCTTTAGGGCATCTCTTGGTGCTACTGTGCCCTGTGATGAAAGTTAATAAGAAACTACAATGATCCATTCCAGGAAGGATGACGAAGGGCACAGAACCATCAGGAAATAAGGTATGGGTCACTTTTCCAGGAAAAGATCCAAGACCTCCTGAGGTGTTTGCAGAGGGTGGAAGAAATATAGAATGGGTAGTGGAGGAAGGTAGTTCTAAATGCCATCTATGGCCACATGACCAGTTGTAGAAATGAGAATTATAACTGACATGAGTGTTTCTGTTGTATTTTGTGAATAATGTATTTGTACAGCTATTTGTATGTGTTAGTGTTCAGGCACCTGTACATGCCTGCCCTTGGGGTTCTGACAGGAGACACCCTCAGCTGCAGTCACTAAGAGCACCACCTGTGCACATTCACTTGTTCCCTTTTAAAAGGGTCCTGCCTACCTCCCACCTCTCTATTTCCCTCTTTCTCCCTCTGCCTATCTGTTCCTCTCTCTCTCTCTCTCTCTCTCTCTCTCTCTCTCTCTCTCTCTCTCTCTTCCTCTCTCTCTCCTTCTCTATCTGTCTCTGTCTCCCCCATTGCCTTTCTCTGCCTCTCTCTTCTCTTCTGCCATTCCTATTTCCAGAGGCCGGTCCCCTCCCCCCTTTCCCATTCACTTTACCCCAATAAAAGTCACATGGTGTCTTTCTCTCACTTGATACATTCTTAAATTACAACAGTATTTTCTTTCAATTTCCTTATCATATGTGACAACATCAATTAAGAGAATATTAGTGGTTATCAGAAGTAAGTTTGACATACTAGAAAGATGTCCCCTAAGGGACATTGCCATTATTCTAAATATATAATGCATTTGTGATTGTATGTGTGATAGTTATGTCATGTTTAGGCATAATTATTGTTATGCTCAAGACCACCACAGAGACAGACCCACTGTATTGCAAAAGCAAGGTTTATTGTTTCATCCAACC